TGATTCTCTTGCCTAGGTTTCCCAAGTAGCTGTGACTACAGGCACCCACCACAGTGCCCAGCTACTTTTTCGTTGTAGTTATCATTGTTGTTTGGCAGGCCTGGGGTGGATTTGAACCCGCCAGCTCTGTGTGTGGCTGGTGCTTACCCACTTGAGTGACAGGCGCTGAGCCTTGGTTTGTATTTTAAAGCTGAAAGCCACTGGGAAGTTTTCAACAGAGGGTTACATGAGTTGATGTTTAGAAGGATTCCTCTGGATGCTGAAGTGATAAGGAGACATGAATACAGCAGAAACAGACCAGTTAGGAGTCTATTCCAATAATGCCAATTGAGAAAATGATGACTTAGACCACGAGGTGGTGATGGAAGTGGTAGAAACTCTGGATGTACCTTGAGGACAATGCCAGGAGGATTTTTTGAAGGACTGGTAAAGGAGTAAAGAGGAAAGACACACATATATCCTCATCTGAGTCTTAACAGTACAGTAGGAAAGGTGTGATTGCTATCCCCAGCTTACAAGAAATGTATTTAAGAGCATGGTTTCTGAGTTCAAAATGTTTTTATAAATCACTTACTAGATAAGCGTTTGGGGGATAATAACAGTATTATTATCCTAACTCGTACAAGATTAGTGGAAAGTTTCTATACAAAGTAATTAGTACAAGAGTCAACGAACGTTGGCTATTATTCAGTTGTTAATACTGCTAGTCTACAGAAAGCAAAGGAAAAGGAATTTGTTCAAGCCCCAAAGCGAGCCCAAACCATTCACTTCCCTTCTTCCTCTCCTCATTCATTTACTCTACAATTTTTTCTAAGTGTTGATTCTACCCGGAATCCATGGAAGACTTAGGATGCGTAGCCCCGGTTAATTCTAGTGCTACCTCAACAGAGCAGTGCAAGGGCTGAAACCAGCGCCAAATAGGGAAACATATATGGTGCGTTTGCAGGATATCGGGTGCTTTTATAGGGTTCATGTGCTTTAACTCCAGGTAAATATTCTCATTCCATTCCGGCAATGCGGGAGTGGTGAGTGCCGGATCATCTGATAAAGGCTCTGAGGGGAGAGGAAGACAAGCTGAGGGCCGGACGCCGCCTGTTGCTTCACTTACCGCTTGCAGCAAAGCTCCCGGCGTCGCTTGCTGCTGCCCCGCTCCCGGGCCCGACCCCGCCGCTCCCAACAGCAACTCATGCCGCTGCCGCTTTACCGGTACCAGTGGCAACTCTGGGCCCTTGCGCTTCTGCTGTTCTATCATGGCGGCAACCGCTCTCTTCAGCCCTGCCACTGACCGCGCGGACACCCTCAGGCGCCACGCAATTGGTTCCAAATTAGTTCTTCCTCCATAACTTCCGGCTTGGCGACACCAATCAGCTGTTAGTATTTTCCTCTGCGCCGCCCTCTGAATAGTCTCTTGTTATTGGTCTAATTGCGATGACGTCACGAGAGCACAATCCTAGGATTGGTGGACGGAGCTGGCGTCTATCCCCGGCGCGCTGGGTCTTGTGGGTGAAAGCACCGTGACAGAGTTTGGCGTTTCGCGCGATGCTGCGGCGGGGTGTCTTGGAGGAGATGCTGAGTAAGTGTGAGCGAGAGCTGGGGTGGGTGGGTGCCTGCCTGAATCTGCGATGCCTCGGTTGTGAAGCTGAATGTGCTGATAGCAAGGTGCGGGAGATGGGCTCTGAATCCCCAGCTCGGGTATGTAGTAGCCTGGATTCCATTTCCCCACTGGAGCAGAGCTTTGGAGTCACTGGTGGCGCCTGTGGCTGCCTGGGACCCTTGCCGGCTTTCTTCTTCAACAGCCGTTTACTGTATCCAGCCCTGTGCCAAGCTTTCGTAGGGAAAAAGGCCTGTCGCCCAACCCCTGCCAGTGCCCCGATTGGCTGAGGAGGCCGACTCGTTTGTGTCGCGAATTCCGCAGTCTTTTACACGTATAAATACCTATTTTATGCTCCTGAGAGAGACAGTAATGAAGGAAATATCCGATACCTTCTCCAGAGCACAGTTTTGTTGAGAAATTGGAGACTCATACCTGTAAGCCAGATCTTTTCCTCAGTCGTCTGTCCAATATTTATTGTGCAGAGAGTTGGGTGTGCGTTGTGAACAAAACATAGTTCCTGATCCCAGGGGATTTGAGTCTGGTGGAGGAAGCGTGTTAAACTATGATCTCACTAATAAATGGAAGTGCCACCTAGGAGAGATACCTGAGGCTCTGAGTTCATGAAATAAACAGGAAGATTTTTCTAAGAAAAAGATGCGTGAGCTGATGTTCAAAGGAAGAATTCTAAATAATTAGATTAAGAGGCAAAGGCAGAACCTTCCATACAGAACAGCATATTCAGAGATGCTGTGCAGTTGGGAGGAAACTGTAATGTCACAAAGAGCCAGTGTGGCTGTTACAAAGAGACTGAGGAGGACTATCGTACAAGATGAAGCTGGATATGATAGAAGTCAAATCTGACCTGAATTTGTAGCTTTTGCTTTAAAACTGATAGGACACCACAGAAGATATCTGAAACCACTGAGGGGCCCTATTCCATGGGGTAGGGTAGAGGAGGGTGCTTGATCCCTTCAGTGGTCTGAACAGCTTGGGGTGGCAGGCACCCTAGTGGATGCAGATTGGACCACTTAGGAGGATATGCAGTAATCCTAGTCAGAGATGTCAAAAGGACTGAGATATTGGTGGAACAGCAGAAAATTGGACAGATTTTAGGGATATACAGGAAGTAAAATGGGTAGGACTTAGTAATGGATTTGGATTTAAGGAGTGAAGAGAAGAGGAGTCAAAGATAGCTCCTAGGTTTCTGGCTTATGTATTGGAATAGATGGTGGTAGCACTCACTGAGCTAGAACACTAGAAGATGGCAGGAGACTAGTTCTTTTTTTACAGTCTCACTTTATCACCCTTGGAAGAGTGCCTTGGCGTCACAGCTCACAGCAACCTCCAACTCTTGGGTTTAAGCGATTCTCTTGCCTCAGCCTCCCGAGTAGCTGGGACAACAGGCGCCCGCCACAACACTCAGCTATTTTTTTGTTGCAGTTTGGCTGGGGCTGGGTTTGAACCCACCACTCTCAGTATATGGGGCCGGCACCCTACTCACTGAGCCACAGGCACCGCCTGAGACTAGTTCTTTTTCTTTTTTTTGTTTTGTTTTGTTTTGTTTTGGGTGTGTGTGTGTGTGGTCATTTGTGGCATACAGGAAGCAGAAAATACAGCTTTAGTGTTCAGAAGAAAGATTTGTGTTGGAAATATAAATGTAGAGATAATTTGCACATATATGTGATAATTGAGCCACAGGTGTAGGTAAGGTCACCTAAGTCAGAGCCTTCAGTTGTTCTAACATTTAAGGGTAAAGAACAGGTGAATCAACCTACAGGAGAAACAGAAGACCTAGGGAATAGGACTGAAGGATCATGTCCACAGCAAAAGAATAGTCTGTGATAGAAACTCCTGGAATTTAATTTGACTATTGAAAAGTCTCTGTTGGACTCTGTACCTGTAGCTCAGTGGCTAGGGTGCCAGCCACATACAATGCAGCTGGCGGGTTTGAACCCAACCTGGGCCTGCCAAACAACAATGACAACTACAACCAAAAAATAGCTGGGCAGTGTGGCGGGCACCTGTAGTCTCAACTACTTGGGAGGCTGAGGCAAGAGAATTGCTTAAGCCCAAGAGTCTGAGGTTGCTATGAGCTGTAATGCCACTGCACTCTACTGAGGGTAACATAATGAGACTCTGTCTCAATAAAGAAAAAAAAGTCTCTGTTGGTTTTATCATCACGGAAGTCATGCTAACCTTAGCAAGAATTATTTTGCTGGTGTAATTGATCTAAAAGTTGTATACGAGGCCAAGATTCACACAAAAAAATGGAAGCAGTGAACCTAGACAGTAAAGAGGACAGGAGGATGTGGTAGCTGATGGGGATAAAGGGTTATCAAGGATCCACTTGAGAGAGCAATGGAGAAGTTGAATATATGAGAAATTAGGTCATCAATAATATATCTGTAAGCCATTACCTAATGGGCACAGTGTAAGGGTGTATGGCACACCTCTTCTGTAAAGGGCTCAACTACAACTAGAACTTTACCTAACAAACACTGTAACCTAATAATTTGTACTCTCATATTAATCTGAAATTTTAAAAAAAAACAGTAGAAGATGGGATCTAAAATACAGGTAGAGGCTTGGCACCTGTGGCTCAAGCAGCTAAGGTGCCACTCACATACACCTGAGCTGGCGGGTTCGAATCCAGCCCAGGCCTACCAAACAACAATGATGGCTGCAACCAAAAATTAGCTGGGCATTGTGGCAGGCCTGTAGTCCCAGCTACTTGGGAGGTGGAGGCAGGAGAATCGCGTGAGCCTAGGAATTGGAGGTTGCTATGAGCTGTGATGCCATGGCGCTCTACCCAGGGTGACAGCTTGAAGCTCTATCTCAAACAAACAAACAAACAAACAAACAAAAAACCCCAGAATATAGGTAGAGGGATCAGCCTGAGGAAAATGGACAGTTTCTCCTTTAAATGGAAGGGAAGAAGGCTATAAATGTAGGTTTGTATGTTTAATATTGGTAAGATGAGTTCCTGTCTCATGGCTTTTATTTCCACTGTAAAGTAGGAAGTAGGATCATATGGTTAGAGTGTGAGATTTGAGAGTATTGCAAAAGATTTGGAAGTCATTGTGGAGTGTGGGAGAATGAATTTACTAAAGAGAGGTAGGATTGTCAGACAGTGTGAAGGACCCATTTAAAGATTCAGTTTTGGCTTGGTGCCTGTGGCTCAAGTGGCTAACGGCGCCAGCCACATACATCTAAGGTGGCAGGTTCAAATCTAGCCCAGGCTGCCAAAATAACAACGGCTGCAATCAAAAAATAGCTGGGTGCTGTGGCGGGTGCCTGTGGTCCCAGCTACTTGAGAGGCTGAGGCAGGAGACTCGCTTGAGCCCAGGAGTTGGAGGTTGCTGTGAGTTGTGATGCCACAGCACTCTACCCAGGGGTATAGCTTGAGGCTCTGTCTCAAAAAAAAAAAAAAAGATTCAATTTTTTTCCAGCACATTAGGCGTGATGAAGGGAGAAAATCTGTCTAGTTATGTCAAGGACTGTGGATTTGGTTTGCTCAAAACACTTTGCAACAACTTATTCTTTTTTTTTCTTTTTGAGACAGAGTCTCAAGCTGTCTACCCTGGATAGAGTGCTGTGGCATCACAGCTCACTGCAACCTCAAACTCTTGGGCTTAAGTGATTCTCTTGCCTCAACCTCCCAAGTAGCTGGGCCTACAGGTGCCTGCCACTATGTTTTTGGTTGTAGTTGTCATTGTTGTTTGGCAGGCCCGGGCTGGATTCAAACCCACCAGCTCTAGTATGTGTAGCTGGCGCCCTAGCCGCTGAGCTACAGGTGCAGAGCCACACTTTGCAAGCTCTGATGTGCCTTCTTTTACTGAAGAATCTGGAAAGCTAAGAACCATTTTCTATACTCCCTTGTACTTTAGGTGAGAACTGAATTTGGAACTGAGTTAATAGTTGGGAGAAGGAGGGTATGAGGCATCCAGTTTTGCTGTCAGGTATTAGGGCATGAAGTTTCTCCAGTCAATAGCTTTTTGTTTTGGTGACCAGTGGAAGCCATAACTTTCATGGATTGTGGCAAAGGCAGTGTTATTTTGTCACTTAGGAGTTGTTTTCAATGTTCTTCTGAAGTCTGGTGTTACAGTGTTTCCAAGTAATTTTTTTTGAGACAGAGTCTCGCTTTGTTGCCCTGGGTAGAGTACCTAGAGTGCCGTGGCCTGGTGTCATAGTTCCTCAGACTCTTGGGCTCAAGCGATTCTCTTGCCTCAGCCTTCTGAGTAGCTGGGACTATAGGTGCTTGCCATAATGTCTGGCTATTTTTTAGAGGCAGGGTCTTGCTCTTGCTCAGGCTGGTCTCGAACCTGTGAGCTCAGGCAATCCATTCGCCTAGGCCGCCTAGAGTGCTAGGATTACAAGCATGAGCCACTGAGCCCAGCCCTGTTTCCTGTAATTTTGGAAACTTCATAATACCTGGTGATAAATCTCTTTCTGCTTAACCCATCTATAGTGGGTTCTGTTGTCTGCAACTATCCCCCACCAGTGTAGAGGTAGTGCCAGAGAGTTAAGTTATAAAGACAGAGTCAGAGGGAGTTTTAGGGTATTATTGGAATGATGGACTATGGAATCTAAGCTGAATTAGAAGAAAAGAGAACAAAAAGGGGAGGGCTCATAGACTGGAAGAAAATAGAGGCCAATAAGAGTTCTAATGAGGTCAGAGTAGTCTCTGCTAAAATACTTCATTTATCCTAAAAGTCCCACTCAGTTGTCATCTCTTAAATTTTCTCACTTGACACTGTAGTGCAACAGTAAAACTAACATAAATTTATTTTTCTTCATAATTTCACACATAGTAAATTTGTTCTTACAGTAGATCTTAGCAATCCCAGCATGTGATTTTTCTTCTTTCCTCAAGTGGAGAACTTTCACCTTTTCACTTAAAAAAAGCGATTTAAGCTTCTCTTTGGCATATCTGAATTTCTAGCATTACAATTGCACTTTGGGGTCATTGTAAGTAAAAT